AGGTTTTCCTAGCTGAAAAACTCCTTGAGAATGTGATATCTAACAAGGTAAAAGCAAAGACAGCACAAGTTGCAAGATTTAAATCCTTCTGTCTTTGTTATCTGATCAGCAGAGCACAGATGTGTGCAGTTCACAATTACTTGGATGACCACAGATGTGATGGCACAGGAGGACCTAAATGACATAGCTACAGAAATAACCAGGAGACTTCCACCGTTTTTCAGCAATGCTTTTTCCAGTTGTACACTGTGTCTTCCAGACTGTATAAAAAACCAATCAGCTCTGCTCAGCTGTGGCTTTTTCCATCCTCCCTTCACATTTATAGACCATTATTTAGTTATTTATTTTTGGTAATAAAGTCTGCAGGCATCACTGTCCAAATAAAATCACAATATCCCCACCACAAATGCAGAGGAGTCTGGCACTTCCTTCATTGACTAGACAACGAGCTGGCAAAGCTAAAAGCTTAAGCCAAGCTTTTAAGATTTTTCTGATTCCTCTCACTCTCATTCTCCCCCACCCCCTGCCCCATTAAATCTTGGAGTAAAAGAAGATTAGTGCAGATGGATGAAAATATTTTTTCCACTTCAGCATTTGCTGTCACTATTCAGTGCTAAGCGGGTTCTCGTATAGTGTCACTGGTAAGATGGAAATTCCAACACTTCTCTTAAATATAATCACCTTGCCACAAAGCAGGAAAAAAGAAAAATTGGCTATTTATTTTGCCTGGATTGTGTGTGATTTATCCAGCAGAACCTGTAAACATTGTAACATCTCAAATTGATGCGTTGCCTTTCATCAAAGTTCAGCTGGCTGCTTCTGCACCACACCAATCTGTTCCTGGCTCACTGTGCCCAGCCAGTAAATTGACCTGGACCCAGCAAAGATGAAAATATGCAGACTTAAAGTAATCCCCCTTGCTGAGCATGCAGGCACATGGTGGGATTAACTGGGGAGGGATGGGGGGGAGAAAAGTGAGCTGGGGGTGCCCAAATTGGGGAGGGGGGGCTGAGAGTGGGGGTCTCCAAGGTGAGGGGGGTCCCCATGAGCACGGGGGTCCTCAAAATTTGGTGTCCCCAAACTGGGGGGAGGGGTCCCCAAAATTGGGTGTGCCCAAGGTCCCTGGGACTGGGGGGGGGGGGGGGGGGTCTCTGTGATGGAGGTTCCTGGTGGGAGGAGGGGTCTCCAAAACTGGGGGTCCCCAATTTGGGGGGGTCCCCAAAAGCCATTGGGGTCACCAAGGTGGGCTGGGGGTCCCCAAAATCAGGGCTCTCCCCATAACTGGGGGGTCCCACGGGGGGGCTCCTCACCAGGTGCCCCCAAAACCGGGGGTTCCCCCCCCATTTAACCCCTTCCTCCCCTCTCTCGGCAGGTCCCGTCCGGCCCTTTGGGTGCCCCCCTACCCCCGGGGCTGCCCCTGGCCGGGGGGGTCCCCGTGGGGGTCCCGGTGGCCGGGGGGGTCCCGGGGGGCTCCGAGCTCTTCTCGTGCCCCGTGTGCCACAAGAGCTTCGGGTTCCAGCGGATGCTGAACCGGCACCTCAAGTGCCACAGCGAGGTGAAGCGGCACCGCTGCCCCTACTGCGGGAAGGGCTTCAACGACACCTTCGACCTCAAGCGGCACGTGCGCACCCACACCGGTGAGAACGGCACGGAACGGGACGGAACGGGGCTGGAACGGGACTGGAACGGGATTGGAACGGGATGGAACGGGTGGGAACGGGATGGAACGGGTGGGAACGGGATTGGGATGGGAAAAGGTTCAACGCCTTCGACCTCAAGCGGCACGTGCGCACCCACACCGGTGAGAACGGCACGGAACGGGACGGAACGGGGCTGGAACGGGGCTGGAACGGGATTGGAATGGGATGGAACGGGATGGAACGGGTGGGAACGGGATTGGGATGGGAAAAGGTTCAACGACACCTTCGACCTCAAGCGGCACGTGCGCACCCACACCGGTGAGAACGGCACGGAACGGGACGGAACGGGGCTGGAACGGGGCTGGAACGGGGCTGGAACGGGGCTGGAACGGGATGGAACCGGGATTGGAACGGGATGGAACGGGTGGGAATGGGATTGGAATGGGATGGAACGGGATGGAATGGGTGGGAACGGGATTGGGATGGGAAAAGGTTCAACGACACCTTCGACCTCAAGCGGCACGTGCGCACCCACACCGGTGAGAACGG